CAGGCCACAATAGCTGGCAAAAAAGACGGCAACAGAGTGCTGACCAACAAGGCTGGCAAGAAGGCCGTACAGAACACCGGCCAAGACTGCTGGCCAGAGGGCTGGCAGGTAGTTCGGTAAGGCCAGCCTGGCCAGCCAGAAAGACCAGCCACAAGGGCGAACCAGATACGCCGGCAGAACGGGATGGCCGAAAAGGCCGGTCGACAGAGAGTCAGTCACACTGGCAAGCCAAAAGGGCCAGCGAAATAGGCCGTGCGCTGGCAAAAAAACAAGCTGGCCAGGAGGGCTGGTCCACAGGGCCGTCCACTATGGTTGCCATAGAGGGCCAGCGAAGAAACAACCACAAAAGCAAAAAGCTGCGCATTTCAGCGACGAGCAACAGGGGGTAGAGCGAGGGAGGTGGGCTTCAGAGAAGGTAGGGGGCTTCTCAGAAGGGGGTACCCCCCTTGAAAGACCATACGCCCAACGCATTTCAAAGAGGCGGTGACATTATTTCAAGGCCGCCCCCAGGACTCTCCCACCTCGTGAGGCCGGAAAAGAGTAAATTATCCTAGCCACCTAAAAGACTGGCCGACACAGCTGGGCTAGCCAAAAGCATCTGGCCGCGAGGGCCGACCAAAACGGCCAGCCGAGCGGCTGACCGGCGAAAGACTAGTTAGTCAAGAGAGCCGGTCAGAAGGGCCAGCCAAGATGGCAAACCAGAAGGGCCAGCCCAAAGGCCCAGCCAAAAGGAATTACTCTCTCGCCTCATGTTTCATCGAACTGCGTAAGTGGTGCTAATTCCGGGGGCGGCCACGAAGGCGGGAAAACGGTACCGACGGGTGCCTGGCGAGGACTGCGAGACGCGTGAACACTACCAGGCTTGCGAGAACTATCGAAGCTCAAGAGCACCACTGACGCAGAAGGCAGAACAGCGTGCGTGGGCATGTCAAGGTGTGTCAGCACCACTGTCAGTGAGCACCACCGAAGCCGCTGGATCCGTAAGAGCAGCAGCAACGGAGGTAGGAGCAGAAGCGGCAGAGACATGGAACCACATTACCTACGTCGGAGAGTCAATGCCAACCGCTGCACCTCTGGACACACCGTAGAACATGCTAGAACCATTGGACTTTTGATCACCATAAAGTATATGATCAAAACAATGCCTATGGATACCGAAGTGCTTGAGACCACCTGGGAGCCTGTGGACACCAGGCGGCGCCTGAGCACAAACCAGCCTGTGCACACGAGTGCCCGTGATCATAACCACAACGTCTATTCGCACCGCAACGCGTGCGAGGACCACATTGCCTGCGATCACCCCCGACACATAGAATACAGCGCTGCCTGTGGGCAGCCCAGCGAGTCAGAAAATCACAGGGCGTGATAACGCCACCGCGAATGAAGCAAACACCGCGCGATGCCTGTGAGCACCACATGCCGATTGACCACCACATAACCAGGCAGCATCCCAGGCTTGTGGGCACACCTGGCTGGTCCGAGCTTGGTAAGCAAAGACAGGCTGTACAAAACTCGCCAGAAGAGCTTGCACAGCATAGGAATGAATGTGATAGTATGTTTACTGGAGAGGGCTGTCGTCTCCACTACGTCATCAGTCCTCGAGAAGCATGTTGCGCGAATGTCTGCATCGATGTCTGGATAGGTTGACCACGATTCCGCTTCAAATAGATACCCCATAATGAAGAGTCCGCGATGGTCCTGAGAAGTCAGCTTAATCAAAGGTGTAGCCACTGCCAACGTCGGTGAGCACACTGAATGTGCGAGGTCAGTGCTGCCGCTGTTGTGGTATATCTGCTGCACGCATCGCCATAGAGCTCCGCGTGTGTGTCGGCAGCCCGTTCCCTTGCGTACTGGGCGGTACCTGACACACCCGTTGCAATCGTAATCAAACCCTGCCCGATGCGACGTGATGGTGGTAATCGGCTCAAGGTTGCGGTGAGAAATGATTCGTTAATGCCTGCCCAACGATCCGTCCAAATGAAGCTCCCTGTTGGGCCACCAAACCCCCGCACAATAGGCTGCAGAGGAAACCAGTCATGCCTGGATGGAGTGAAATATGTGCTTGCTGTCAGACCCGTCTTCGGGGACTGGCCTGAAAATCTGGGCAGGCTGTCCAGACACGTGGTCGCACTACTGCCGCTGACCAGTTGGCGGCCATTGGGGCAATTGGGATCGCGAACGCGGTTTCCAGTGTTCACGCTCCTGGGCAATGTTGTGAAAAGTAGCCCTGTGGAGATAAAACCGCCCGCGGAGCCAAAATCCAGCACACTGCACAGCACAGTGCCGCATGGAGGCACCTACGAGGATACAGCGGGTGGGCGTCGCGGAACCAGCGTGAGAGGTTAAAGGAGAAGCGTGGCCACGAGACATCGGAAAGGAGGGAAGAGAAAGAAGGAGGATGCCTGAACCCAGCACTGAAAACGTTACAACTTTCTGAAATCGTTTATTACACATGTGCGACGGAAACCTAAGAGCGCCCCGCCCAGACTCGCGCCCGCGCGCGGCGGTTTACACCTACACGTCGGCGCAGCCCATGCTACACGCCATGGGCGCGCAGCCCATGTTACACGGTAGACGGGCAGCCCATCCTACGCTACTCGTCCAGCACTGGCTTCAGGAACACGGTGCCGCGGTTGCCGCTGACCGTGGCGAAGCCGAGAGCGCCGTCCTTCTCGGCCCTCATCCTGACTCTCATAACGCCCGCGGCCTTCTCGGGCACGGGCGTCTCCAGCGCCTCAATCAGCTCCCCGACCTCCAGCTTCCGCAACGTCTTGGCCTGCTTGATGTCCAGCTTGTCGTTCAGCACCGTGGTCTGCGTGCACTTGTACTGAGGCGACCACCTCAGGAGGGAGCCGCCAGAGAGCGTCAGCCACCCCTCGGCGCTGTCCGCCAGGGACCTGCCTCTGAGGCGGTCGACGCCCTCCTTGGTGTTGCTCTTGGGCCCCTCGATCACCTCAACCACCTCGCCAACCTCGAGCCTCCGTACCAGAGGGCTGCCGCCAGCTAACCTGCCCTCGAGAGGCAGGCTCCGCTTGCACACTCTCAAATTCTCGGACTCCTCTGTGTAGGCCGTCCCTTGGTTGCCCCTCATCGTGACCCAGCCCTCCTTGCCGTCGAGGCTGGCCCTTGCCCGAAACCGCGAGAGTGACCTCTTGCCGTCCTCCGACGGACCTTCGAGCACCTCGAGCGTCTCACCGACATCGAGCTTTCGTATGGCCTTGCCGGCTGCGATGTCGAAGTTGGTGGTGATGGCGATGCTTTGTCTGCACACCAGCAGCTTCGACGGCTCCAGCAGCTCTGTGCCCTGTGGGTCGGTCAGCGTGGCCCAGCCAGACTTGCCGTCCTTCTTGGCCTTTACCTTAACCCGCTGCAGCTCCACATCGGGCTCCTTGCGGGGACCCTCGAGGACCTCCACGACCTCACCAGCCTGCAGCTTCCTGACCTCAGACTGCTCGCTGCTGGAGCTAGCGAAGGCCGACTGGAGCACTACATCCTCCTGGCACCAATAATCCGGCGAACCCCGCTTGCCAGCGTTGAGTTGAGAAGGCGAGTGAGATACTTGACTGCCCCTTCCTCCTCCTCCTCCTCCTCCTCCTCCTCCTCCACCTCCTCCTCCTCCTCCTCCCCCTCCTCCTCCCCCTCCTCCTCGTCCTCCTCCTCCTGCTCCTTCTCCTCCTCCACCTCCCCTTCTCTTCACAAGTCCATCAAGAATCCAGCAGGAACCCATCAGGAATCCTCAGGCATCCTCAGGAATCCATCAAGAATCCTCTGGAATCCTCCAGAGCCCATCAGGAAGCCATCAGGAATCCGTCAGGAATCCATCACGGAACCATCAGGACTCCTCCGACATCTCTAAGCCCCAGGAATCCTCCGGGATCTCGAGGTAACCTCTAATGACCCTCGAAGACCTCTAAGGACCCTCGGAGGAACTTCTAAGGAGGAACTTCTAAGGAGCTTCTACAACGGTTGGGATTGGTACCCATTGGCTGTGATTGGTACCAAAAGTGTGGTAATCTGTCCTAGTTGTTTGCGATTCGTCGCATCATCGGATTTCCCCCCCTACACCCTGGTTCGAACCGGGGGGGATTCTGCACACACACACACACACACACACACACACACACACACACACGCGCGCGCGCACACGCACACACACGGTCCCAACCGGGGGAGGGGGGGGAGGTCCGCCCCCCCAGGGGGACACATGTTACCCCCCCCCCCTAGCTCGAACCAGGGGGTCCTGCCAGTGTCGGCAGAATACGCGTTCTAATATCTGCATCGACTTCATGTGTAATGTTAGCAGTTGCACTCGGTGGTGAACTGCCTACGAGTTAGTATTATGTCGGCTGTAACCGAATAAATGATAGCATGGGTACTTGCAGCTCGTGACACCAGTATTGTTAATAGCTAGAAGTGCTAGAAAGGGCAAGGATGTGGACTGCCTCGACCCTGTGGAAAGTTGCTCAGGGTCCTCTGCCGCAAGGGCGTCATTCTCATTCCCGCTGACAATACGGACGCGGTGGACTATTCCAGGCAAATGCCCTCCTCGTCCTAGACGTCCTCCGCTTCTCCTCCTGCAACTCCTGCTCTACCTCCTCCTTCCCTGACATTCTCGCGTCGTGGAAAATCACGATGGCGGGTTGTTGCCTGTCTTCGGGACTTACAGGCACGGAGCTCTCACCAGGCGCTGGGACCGTCAAAAAACGACGCAAGATGAATGTGTCCACACCTCTGGGGAGCCACGTTATGTAAAAAACATACATTGCATCACGACGTCGGATGCCAGGGTATCCTTACGGTGTTCCTATCGTGTTTAAGAACCAGGTTCCAAAAATAATCTCGTGCACCCAAGGCAGAATCGAAATATTGTCTGCCCGACACGTTGGCGAAGTGTCGAACGAGCATCACCGCCCAGGGCCCGACACGTGAAAGCCCTCCAGTTTCGATACTTTCGTGGTACTCGAAATTATTTCTGATGGTCAAGGCTAGTTTGAAACATCTTAAGTATACCCCCTCGTCCGCCTCCGCCTCTTCTGCTGCACCCTCCCTCGAGCACCCGAGCGATGCGGGCCATCGTCATGAGCCCCCCGCTTCTGGGGAATCGGCAGAGGCGCAAGCCTCCAGGGATAAGGCTTCGCAGCCTTCACCATGTAAGCCGTGCCCTGGTTGCCCCGCAACGTGGCCCAGCCCTCCTTCTGGTCCGAGAGAGCTCTGCATCTCACCCGCGCGATGCCGTCCTTGTCCGCCCTGTCGGCCTCGAGGACCTCGATGAGTTCGCCGACCGCGAGCTTCCTGAGAGTCTTGCTGTCCTTGACCTCGAAGGCGGTGGTGATGGCAATATCCTTCACGCACCTCTTGAACTCCTGGAGCAGCTCCAGGAGCGTGAGCCTCGTGACGCCACCAGCGTATCTCTCGAGCCCCAGCTCGAGCTGCGCGGCCTTCAGGCCGTGGTCCGGGATGCCGCCGACGAACTTTCGCAGCTCATCCACCGGCACCTCCTGGCCGCCCTGGGACAGCTCCGTAAAGACCTCGTCTGGCCTCTTGCCAGCCTTCCTCACGAACAGCTGCAGCGCGCGGGTCACTGCCTCGTGGGCATCGCTGGCAACCTGTTTCCTGGCACGCTGGAGCCCCAGCTGCTGCGCCTTGCACTTGCTCTCCAGGGCCCCGACCCTGACCTTCAGCTTGATCAGCGTGGCGCGGGCATCCTTGAGCGGCCCCTCCGTCGCCGCCTTGATCTCGTCCATGCCGGCCTTGATCTTGACCCCGGCTGCGTCCACGCCCTGGAGGGCCGCCTCGAGGACTCTCTCCACCTTGGCGATCGCCGCGATGGGGTTTTCCTCTTCGCTGCCCCGCGTGTCTTCGAGGGCCTTCGCTGCGGATACGGCCTCCTCCACGGTCTCCTGGCACGACGACACCATCTGCTCCGCCTCACAGGTCAGCGCGGCGGCCGCCCTCCTGTCGGCGGCCTCCTTGCGGCGCCTCCGCTCCGCCTCCATGCACTCCGCCTGCTTCTTGTCCGCCTGCGCGACCCTCTTCTTGAGCTCCTCATGCTCGGCCTTCACCTTGCTGACGCGAGGCCTCATCTGAAGCAGCTCGCTCTTCGTCTCGGCCAGTGGCCCGGTCCGAACCGACTTGAGCTCCTCGCCCTTCTGTTCAATGTACTTGCCGACCTCCCGGGCCTTATCTGCAAGCTGCTTCAGCCGGAGCTCCACCACCTTTGATGTGGTGGGAGGGGGGGTGCAAGGGTGGGGGGGAGGAGCTGGAACTGGAGCTGGAGCTGGAGCTGGAGCTATGTAGAGGAGGTGGAGGTGGAAGTGGGGGTAGAGGTAGAACTGCTCGTGGTCCGCCACCTTCTTGCAGGCCGCGAAGGGGGAGTACGGCTCCAGGTATCTAGTGCCTTGGTTCCCAGCGAGCGTGATGTAGCCCTCCTTGTCATCCTTCTCCGCCTTGACTTTGACCCTCATGAGGTCGACGGTTTCATCCTTCACCGGTTCCTCGAGCGCCTCAACAATCTCGTTCAGCTCGAGCTTGCGGACCGTCTTGCCTTCCTTGAGCTTGAGCTCGTCGGTGATCGAGACTACCGAGGCGCAGATGAACTTGGTGCGGAGCTGGTCCAGGAACGCCCGCTCCGACAGCTGCTCCTCCCTGCCCTTCAGGCAGTCGTACGCAGCCTTAAGCTGCTCCTCGGAGAGGCCATCGTCCTCCGATGCCTTCACACCGGGCAGTTCGCCCACGAAGGACACGAACCGCTCAACGACGACGGAGTCCTTCTGCTCGCTCATCTCGTCGAAGATCACCTTCGAGCTCTTCTGAGTAGTCTTCATGTGAGCTTTGAGGGCGTCGGCGACATGCTGAAGGTACATGGCACCAGCGAAGTCCTCGGCCTTGTCCGAGGCAAGCGGGGCCGCGACCTCAGCTGTCTCCTTTAGTCTCTTTTCCAGCTGGTCCATCATGTCCGTGGCGTCCTTCAGCAAACGCTTCGCCACGAAACGGTGCTCCTGATCCCGCAAGAGCCCCTTCTGTTTCTCGAGTTCCGTCTGCGCTTTCGACAGTCGGGGAACAGAAACTGGCATAAACATAACCTGTCGGAGCTGCGCACAGATTTCTTGAATCTGCGCTGAACCCCACTCCCTGGCGCGTTCCCCGCGCCAGGGGCGGCGCCGGAGGCGCCGCCAGGGGAGCCCAGCGCCGATCCGAGAAAGCCGCGCGGAGCTCCAGAAATGAATATCTATGCCTTTTTCTCTTCCTCGAGATAATCTGTCCATCATTTTTCCGAGCTCGGTCAGGATGGCGGAATCCGCCGTCACGACCTTCGCGTCCTTCTGTCGGTTGAGCAGCAGGGTGCGGGCCGCCGAGATCTCGCTGTGGGCCGCGGACTGCGTGCTGCCGGCCTTCTCGCAGCAGCTCTTCATCTGATCGGGGGCCATGTCTGGCGTGTCGGACAATGCCTTGGTCGCCTCCACGGCGGCCTCCACCTTCTTCTCCGCCTCTCCCACTTTCGACGCCACCTCCCGCTTCACCGTTGCGAACTTCCGCTCCGACATCACCTTCTTGGTCTCTGTGAGCCGCCTCGCCGCCGTGTCGAGGCGGCCCTGGAGGGCCGTGAGCTCGTCGGCAGCAGGCTTGGAAGCGCTCTCAGAAAGTCCGCCGACCCCCTGGGGTCACCGGGCGTGTTGGACTATTTCCCCCCGTGCAGAGCCCCCGCACATCAAGCCAAAGTTGCGGATCTGGTGGCAGGGGCGGTCTCATCAGAGGGGGGTCTGAGCGGCAGATCTCCTCTCAGACGGCCACAACTGCGAGAGCCTTAGGAGGCCGCCAAGATGGCCGAAGAGATGATCAAGACAGTGGAAGGGGCCCCAAGATGCCCCGAATGACAGACGAGGCGCCTTCAAACTCGTCTCCTGCCGATCGCCCAGCCCGCCGAGGAAGCTCCCAGAGTGGCCGCGATGTCAGCAAGCAGTCAAGTCCAAACCCCAAGAAAGGCCCCAGTGGGGCCACCTGGACAACCCAAAAACCCTCCAGGACCTCCGAGAACGGACCACCCGGAGTCCAGAGTCATGCCTGGCGCCTGCGTGGCTCACAGTGCGCAAGCAAGGGTCGGCGGGCGCGGCTTGCTCAAAGCCTGCTGGATCTCTTGGCAGCGAGGCGTTTCATCGCCAGGAACGTCTTGGCGCCGCCGACGGCCGTGTGAGCGGCCTGCACTGCGGCCTCGAGCTTCTCCAGCATGCTGCTGGCCTCGTCGACCGGCAGACTCTCCGCTCCCTCGCCGAAGGGCTTCTCCAGGTCCGCGACCTCCTGCACGCACTTCTCGCACTCGCCGACCCGCTCGGCGGACTCCTTGATCAGCCCGGCCACCGCGATCTTCTCGCCCTTGGCGTGCATGGACACGACGGTGGACTCCAGCTTCTCCTGGGCCTTCTTGAGCTCTGGCTGGAGCCTGCCCACCTCGTCCTTCATGACGGGGTCTCGGGCCTTGGACTCCAAGTACCTCGAAGTCGTCTTCATGAGGACCTGGGCCTCCGCCGAGGCCTTCTCCGCGGCCTTCACCGGGTTCTCCTCGGCCTCCTTCTGCCCAGCGGCGTCGGCACCCTGTGCGCCATCGTCGTCCTGTGGCTTCTCCTCCCCGAGGGTCTCCACCATCTGCGCCACCGTCGCCACCTTCTCCTTCAGCGCCTGGAGCTTGCCCCTTGCCTCTTCGATGTATTTCTTCGCCTGGAGCCGTGCCTCCACGCCGATGCACATCTTCTTGGCCCTGGCCACGTCACCCTGCGCCGAGCTCAACCTGGTCTGAAACTTGATGAGATCCTGGCTCACCTCGGCCGACGTGTCCCTCCCCTTGGCCTCTATCTGCCTCGCGGTGATGGCTTTCCTCGCATCGGCCAGCGCCGCGTTGGCGGCCTGCTCGGCCTTCAGCGTCTCGTCAGAGGCATTCTTGATCTCGTCGGAGGACAGCGCGAATCCGCCACCGTGCCGTAGACACGGAGTGAAGTTTCCTCAGGTCGCTTCGAGTCCCCTGCATCTAGCACTCGAATACTGATAAACAAATGTAAGAGGCATCCAAGAGGCATCCTCAGAGACCCCAAGCTGCATCCAAGAGGACTATGGCCCCCAACCCAGGAACGGTGGCAGGATAGGCCGAAGGCCACTAGACCTGGGCCGGCACGGAAACAGAAAGAGCGGCTCAAACACATTAACCGAAGTTACTCACACCACCGTTCGTAGTGGGTGCCTTGGCGTTGAGAGCTTGATACGTCACCCCTCGCTCCTCTTCTTCCTCCTCCTCCTCCTCCTCCTCCTCCTCC